TCCTGTCAGCTCTCTAAAATCTAAGAGTGTTAAGACAATGCCAGTTTGGAAACCTTCTTCACCTGCTTGCCAGGAATTTTGTCCTCCAGACATCACACTCAATCTCTAATCTGTCAGATTCCTCTGAATATTCCTCACATATCTTTTTCCAGTGATTGAGCTCCACAGTTTGCTGCACATTTCTGTTCACTAAGTCTTCCAACCTACACAACATCAAAACAAACAGGACTCATTGGGAAAGTTAGACATGACTTCTTGTATGAAGTAATCATAAACATTTTATGGAGAGGCCATAATAGAAAAACAACAACAAAAACAAAAAAGAAAAGGTGTTAACACTTGGGTTTGCTGTGTCTATTACCTTGACTAAATAATTAAATTTCACGTGCAACAATAAGTAATCAACAGCTTCACTATAGACCTCAATGGGAGACATGAATGCCTTTGAAGGCGGAGGTTTCTTAGCCTGGGGAAAATGTGACACCTGGCATCATTGCAATGGGGCAATATAAATTTCATGCAGAATTTAGACATACTGGTGGTACAACTCTTTCACCCTTTCTACAGATTCCCCAGTTTATATAACCTACTTCCCCCAAGAAATTCCAATAATCTTTAAATAGTTGAACTGTCAGTTTTAAATACCTTTCACCAACATCTTCTCCCACTGATGCCACTAGCAACCTCTTAATTTCTGCATTAACCTGAAAAAGGATAACTTAGTTATCAGTAGTGAGCCACATTAAGTGTTTTGCTGTACAAAGAAAATGAGATATCCCAAAATCTCTTTACACAAAATTGAACATGATGTAAGGTTACTTGTTGACTAAATGTACTTTTTTCCCCCAAAGATTGACTAACTAGTATAGAATTTCTCCTTTAAATATCGCCCCTGAATCAAACATTGAGGTCTTGAGAGTAAAGAAAACCATCACCAACTTAAGAAGCTGTTGATTGTTGAACCAATTCTCCTTGTCACCACTATAGGAAATGTATAGAGAACAGTATGGAGAATATCCACAGCATTGCTAGGCAGAGATAAGGGTTTACAGAGGCCCCCTTTGATGATGACTCTGGGTTTAATGCACTATAATCAATTTGATCAAAAGTGAGTCAGGGAACTGGGTCATGCAGGTGAAGGAAAAACTTAACACCTCTCCATAAAAATGTCATGGAAAGACAAACTGGCCCTTTCAAACTACTACTTTCACTGAGGCCTTTCTAAACTTACTTTTTAGGGCTTTACTTTCCATATGTTCCTATCAGAAATATATTGAGTAATTTATGTTATAGGGACTTGGAAGAAGAAGAGGCAGACCAAATGAATTAAGTCATAATAGTTATTTTTTTCCACTAGTTTTCAAGGAAGTGTGTACATAATATGTTGAGCATTGGTTATTCCCGAACCTTTGCCTGGACACCAAGCTGCACAGAGAGTTTTGTCTTCTCTTCAACAAGCTTTGCATTCTGTTCCTGAAGATCACTGATGACTTTCTGGCTGTCCACAAACTCAGCTGTTTGTTCCACCACAGTGGATTTCAAAAGACCATCTCCGAAACTTAGATCCACCGCAGGAGGAGCCAAAGAGACAAGCTGATCAGTAGCAGTGCAAGATAGGCCCAACTGATTGTTTAATCGCAGAAACTCTGGTCCTTGGAGTAGAAGATTCGTCGAGTTCTGTCTTTGCACTGACTGAATAGGACCATCCTCTTCTAATTGTACTCTTTCTGTTCTAGAGACATCTTTTCTTCTCATCTGTAATTGTGTGGACTCAACTAAATTTGGGTGACCAGTTGATGTTCCCATTTCCTTCATTGTGAAAATTTCATTTTCATCTCTGTATTTTGTTCCTGAGCTATTTACCAGCATGCCAGTTGTTATTTGAGCAGATCCATTTACAATTTTCTTTCCAGCATTGTTCCTTTTCACAGTTGAAGACAATAAAATGTTATTTGCTTTTTGAGTCAAGTCACTTTCTTCACTATCCTCTGAGAAACTGTCATTGCTGGAATTGCTTGATGAAAATTCCATTCCATCTCCACTGGATCTCGGTAACCTACTAAAATCCACTGAAAATGAACAAATGAAATCTGATGATTACCTCATAATATTCAGGGGTTTCATTAAGGGCCACACACCGGGTAAATATTGATCAGCTGTGGACAGAACTTTGTCCAGCTACTGTTGCTGTGTTTTTTAAAAAACTGTCAAACAGTCTTCTAAAAGAAATTCTCTCATTTTCAATTCCAAATTCATACAGGGATGCATGTCCCCAACCG